TTTTTTTTTTTTTTTTTTTTTTTAAGAGATGAGGACTTGCTATGTTGCCTAGGCTGGTCTCAAACTCCTGGGCTCAAGCAATCCTTCTGCCTCTGCCAAGGTGCTGGGATTACAGGCGTGAGCCACTACGCCTGGCCTGACCTTGGTAGTTTTAAGGACTACTGGGCAGGTGTTCACCATAGAGATTGAATGCCATTTTCATCTCATATCAGTATATACTAAGAACATGGTTTACAGTGTTGATGTGACCTCGATCACCTGGCTTAGGTATAGTCAGATTTCTCCACTGTAAAGTTACACTCCCTCCTCCCACTCCTGTGCTTTTTATTTTGAGTATGAGTCTCTCTCTAGCCCAGGCTGGACTGCAGTTGCATGATCACCACAGCCTTGACCTCTTTGGGTTCCGGAGATCCTTCTGCTTTGGCCTTCCAAGTAGCTGAGACTACAGATACACACCTCCATGTTTGGATAATTTTTTGAGTTATTGTAGCAACAAGGTCTTGTCAAGTTGCCCTGCCTGGTTTTGAACTCCTGGACTCAGTCCTCCCAAAGTGTTGGGATTACAGGCGTGAAGCACCACACCCTCCAGTCGTTTTTATATTGTACTCTTTGGAAGTCAGTCACTAAGTACAGCCCTCACAAATATTCTCAGTTAGCTAAGGATAGCTTCTGAGTTGTTCAGATAGTGGGTGTGAATGGTATTGTTTTTGAAGGGTTGGATTATAATTACCACTTGAAGCATCTGTTGAGAAAGCCAGTATTTCCTAAGATAAAAGCTGGAAACTTACCAATATATACTCACTCCTCTGTCCTGGTCATGTTTGCTGCTTTTCTGTCATCTGCTTTTAACCCACTTCTTTTCTTCCTGTGCTTACCTGTGAATCAAGAGGGTGGTAGGAATACACTCTTCTGCTGGTGGACTGTGTGGTATGATATATTTTTACTGAAACCACAAATAGTGACGTTTGACAGAATGTTGGCTAGTGGTAGACGTGCAGAAGATAAGAGTGGAGATGGGAGTGGCAGGATGGGTTAAAATGGTGAGAAACACTGCTGTAGGTGTATTTATGCAAAGCTAATTGGCTCATGCTCTTCTGGTTTTAGTTGGAATTTACTTGCTGATGATAAAGACTAAATCTTGTAGCTCAGAATTCTAGAATCACAAGCCGGGCTCAGTGGCTCAGCCTGTAATCCCAGCGCTTTGGGAGGCTGAGGTGAGTGGATTGCCTGAGCCCGCCGGTTCGAGACCTGCCTGGGCAACTTGGTGAGACCTCATCTCTACAATAAGTCAAAAATTAGCCGGGCATGGTAGCGTGCACCTGTAGTTGCAGCTACTTGGTAGGCTGAGGCAGAAGGATTGCTGGAGTCCAGCAGGTCGAGGCTGCAGTGGCCAGAAGCAGCCACTGCACTCCAGTCTGGGTGATAGAGTGAGACTCCAACTCAAAAAAAAAAAAGAATTCTAGAATCACATTTCCAAGTATCTACTAGAAATCCCATGGGAAACGCACTTAAAACTACTCTCTTGTTCTCCAAAGGAGTTCTACCCGGTTTTTGCTGTCTCAGAACAGCCCGTCCATCCACCTGCTCATCAAGCTTGAGACCTCAGTATTCCTCACCACAACCAACTCCTGCTGAGTTTTCTTACTCAACATTGTTTTAATCTTTTAAGGTATTATGTACACACAGGATAATCAGTAAAGTGCATGACCCCATCCCTTTTCCCGACTGGTCAAGCCTCAATCCTTTCTTTCCCGAATAGTTGCGGTAAACTCCTACTGGGTTTCTTCTTTAGGTGCTCCTCATCCACACGGCATCAGGGATGGTCCTCTCAGAACTTACGTGTGACCATATTTGGAGAGGGAATGAGTCTCTGCTTTGCAGCCTGCACTGTTATGATATTGAGTTGCTATGGACGAATCTGTTTCACTGCCTGCATCTTCCCTGAGACCAAGCCTCTGAGTCAGGACTGGGGGTGGACAATGGCAAACTTCTTTCTGAGGGACTCCTCACTCAAGGACCTGAGCTCTTGGGGAGCAGGAGGGGTGTAGCAGCCTGAGGTTGGCTGGGCTTGCCTTTTCTTTTGTGAAAATAGCATCTCGTGTAATGGTGGTGAGGGCCCCAGTATTCTTTGCTCCACACCCAAGGAAGAATCTGTGTTCTAAGAGTAGGGATTGAGGGAGGGGGTCAGGCAGAAGAAAGGATTCCCAGGATTTTTTTTTTTTTTTTTTTTTTTTTGAGTCGACATCTCACTCTCAACCAGGCTAGAGTGCAGCAGCACAATCAAAGTTCACCGAAGCCTCGACCTCCCAGGCTGTGGCAATCCTTCTGTCTCAGTCTCCTGAGTAGCTGAAACTACAGCTGCGAACCACTATGTCCAGCTAATTTTTTTTTTACAGCTTTTTGTAGAGGTGAGGTCTTGCTGTGTTGCTAGGCTGGTCTTGAACTCCTGGACTCAAGCAATCCTCCTGCCTTGGCTTCCTAAAGTGCTGGGATTACATGCATGAGCCACTGCAGCTAGCCTCCCAGGCTCTTCACGGCTCCTCCCAGGCTCTTCACGGCTCTAGCCCAGGAAGAACTTGGCTCCGGCACCAGGTAGCTGGGGCAGGATGAGAAATGCTCTTTGTGGGAATAAAGCCCTCCAACTGGGAGCTGTAGAGAGAGTGGGCCTGTGCTCTTGGCTGCTGTTCCCTGGAGCAGAGACTGCCTTGCTGAGCTGGGAAAGCAGAGGACGGGAGTGGTCTTGGTTCAAACACTACAGACTCTTGCCACTCCTACTGAGTTGTCATAGACTATCTTGCTAAATTTCAGATTAGATTTGTGAAAATAAATATGTAAATTTCCTTGTCCAAATTCAAGAACGCCTGAAAATCTTATATGCTGAGGTGACACATATTAATATGTGATTCTTTCTACAGGTGTGAAGCAACAGCTCGAGATTGTGGTGGTTCATAATAACAATAGAGTTTACTCATTATGTAGTTCCAAAGCCTCTATTTTGATCCTGTAACTCACATTGGAATAATCTTTTTTTTATTTGGCATTCACTGAGTGTATGTAGTACCTAATTATGATTGGCCAGCTTACCCTTTCAACTCACAAATGCTAATGAAAATGGTTTTATGTTGCAGGAATACAAGCGCAAGCTAGCCAGAGTTTCCCTGGTGCGCAAAGAACTCAGGTCCCGGATCCAGAGCCTGCCAGACTTGTCCCGACTGCCCAATGTCACTGGCAGCCACATGCACCTGCCCTTTGCAGGGGACATCTACAGTGAAGATTGATGACCAATCTCTTTCCAGGTCTCAGGACTTTGCAAGAGATGGAGACAGGTTAGGTGGATGGTCCTGTAGCGTTATTTTTGTATATTGTTGAGAGAGAAACACTAACAAAAGGAACAACAAGTAATTTATAAAATTGTTTAAAATATTGGTTTGTTTACTATTTTATTGGTAAGTTAACATGACTTAGTTTAAACAAAGTGATGATCTCTGTGTGTTAATAAGCTCACAAACAGTGATTATTTTCAAAAGATCTTTTTGTAAATTTTTTTGATCCAGGGCTTTGTGAGAAATTCCATGTTTCTATTTCTTCATGTGTTTTCAGTGGTTTTTCTTTCTTTCTTTTTTTTTTTTTTCAGTATCTAATCACTGTATACTATGTAATTCCTAAAGGGGAAGAACTGATCAGGAGTTGGTTGAGACTGTATCATGGTGTAGTTAGGACTCGACTGTAGAGGGGACTAAATGTTCCAACATAATCTTCCCCTTCTTCCCCCCAAAATTCTCAGTTTTCTGCTTCTCCATGCCTTCAATTTGTATTCTCTAGAGGTCAGTAACTTAACACTAAACATGGATGTCACTTGGAGGGTCAGATAGAAACCTAGAGAACTTTCCCCCAAGAGCATTGTAGGGCATCTATTCCAACTGCCAGTGTAGGATAAAAAGTGTTAAATAGTGGCTTCTTTGATTGAACTGCTTAGAACTATTTGAGTAGGTTAATATGACATGCTTTGGAACTGTTATACATTTTTGACATTCTATCAAAAGGACAGCTTTGGTTCTAGAACTGATTTCTATGTGTCTAATCAGTCTCCTTTTAACACAGTGATCCCTGTAACAAAAAGCCATCTGTGGGATTAAGAGACACATTAAATAATGATACTTTAATTATTTCTTTAGCCATATAACTTTTAAAAAATAGTATTTTTAATTCTAATAGCTCAAGAACACAATACTCAATGTTCAGTAAAGTAGCTTGGAACATTTTTCATGTTTCCTTAAGGTTTTTGAATGACTGTATATTTGGCAATTAAGCAGTGCCACACTACAGGGTAGATCTGTTAAATTTTATATTTGTATATTTACAGTTACCAAAACAAATGTATTTTTACCTTTGATTTCTAACCCTGTGTGTTAGAGCAGTTGCATGCTCTCCTGCTTTTTAAACTACATTGTTAAGCTGTGGATTTGTACTCAATAATGACTTAGGATAAACATCTTTCCCTTAATTGCTTTACATATTAGACATTTTCCTTCTCATTGTAAGTAGGTTCGAATTAGATAGTCAATAAAACATCTTTTAAATCCCACAAGCCAATTATGTCTCACTAGTCTGAATGGCTTCCCTCTGTTTCTTTGTCAGTATTAGAGATTATAGTTAAAATGGATTTACATGCGAAGAGGGCACACATTTATTTTTAATAGCCAGAGGTTCTGGAAACAGTGCTTTTAACAATTTGACCTCTCTCTAAAACAGAGACACGTAAGTAGTTCCCATGCAAAGATGGCTCATATTCCAAAGTTTTTTAGTCAACCTTGGAGACCTGGGGTTCATTTTCTTTCAGAAATAGTAGTGGTTGCTTCCCACTATCACTGAAAGCTCACCTGGGAGCCAAATCTGCTTAGCCAGGAATGTCTTCAACTTGTCACATGCTTCACAGGTTACTACTAGTGGATCCTGACCGGCATTTATAGCATCTCTCTGAGGAAGTGGCGTGCAGCAGCATGACTCCCATTCTAGGGTGTCTGCCTGTGCTGTGTACTCTGTTCCTAGCTGTAGGAAATGGAGGAAAAAGATTCAGCAAAGCAGGAGAGGTTACAAAACCTGGTTATACGAGTCATGAAAGTATACTGAGTAAGTTAGTTTTTATTGTTAATGTGAAAGCAAAAATGTGTATGTTAATTTATTTTACAATATCTTGACCTTATTTATGATCTGCTAAAGTGGTGATCTATCCATTCAAAATATATATTTTTTTTCCATTTAAAACTAATTTATAAACTATGTATTCCTGGGAAGATTTGAAATCTTTTAGAAGTTTGTTGAAATATTTTCACCATGCAAGACAGACTTCTTAGATACTGATTTTAATGCCAGTATCTGCTCTAAATATTTATGATAAAAATGCATTATTTTTGTAAAGAGCTTGATGAGATTTGTGATGAGTGGTAGTACTCAAGAACCCGAATCCCACCTCTTGACCGATCTCCACAAACCTCAGTTGTGGTTAACTCATTAACTGGACACAGACAGGATGATCCAGTGGAGAAGTCATCTTTTCAGCCATATAATAGTTAACATGGTAAGCCTTAGCAGCAAGCAGTCTTCCCTTCTGAAAGGAAGACTACGTCTTCTCAAGAGATGGGCTTAGATGGGGGTGCTGTAATACCAAATCCTAAATCATGAGCATTTTCTCCACTGTGTACAGAGGCAAATCATGCATCTCTGAGTGCAATTTGGTCTCAAGAGAAAAGCATGTCAGCCCACTTGCAGCAGGGGTGCTGTGGTTTGAATGGATGCCATCACTCTTTTCTCCACATACGGTGCAGAGAGCTGTCTGGAATGGCAGTATCAACAGATTCCCTGGCGCTCCCTCTCCTCCTCCTTCCATCACTACTGTAAGTAAAAGGACCATGGGGGGAACCAGGAGTAAAATCAGTCGTGCCCAGTAGCCAACTCCCAGTCTAGAAAACAATTCCTGATGCAGCTGTTTTGGTACGTCTTTTTACATGCACTCTGCATCAAGGTTTTTCTGTAAGAAGTCCTTCAGAAATCAGCAAAAGCTGGGATGACCCGGGCATCTTGTTTTGTAAAATTTAAAAAAACAGTTGTCACTGTAGATGAGCAACTCGTCTTTTTAAAGTATAGTTCTTGAACTGGTTCTGAGAAATCTTGAAAGAAAAAAACCTCCAAAGTATACATTAACTAATTGGCAAGATTAGAACTTCCTTTCTGAATTTTTCACTCAGAAAGTTACATTGTATGAAATATAACATAAAGCTACTAAACTGCTTTGTATTCTATTAAGAAATAGCTCCTAAAGGCATAGTCTTGTTTCATAGTTGTTGCACTATATAAGAGCTTAAAATGTAAACCCAGTTCTTCTCTGTGTAGAAAGGGAACATTGTGTTACTTAATGGATTTATTTATACAGAGCCTTCGTTGCCAACTGTAATCCAGCCATCCACGCCAGTCTGTTTTGAGGTGGCGATAGCACAAGGGAAGATGAACTTTCCCTGTTTGTTTACCTCTTTTCGTTGGCTGTATCTGATGACGGTATAAGATGTTCTTAATAAAGTTTTATGTTCTTTTTGAAACGTGCAGGTTATTTTTGTGACTCTGATTCATTTTATATGGGCAAGGAGGGGGAAGAAGAAGAGAGTGGGAGGGAAGCATAGGATTGAAAGTGTTCAGTGATGTTTGGTTATAGAAGCTGTGAAGGAGACTGCTTTACTTGGCCAGGGGTTCCCAAACTTCAGTGTCAGAATTACGGAGGGTTTATTAAACTACAGATGGTCTGGAATAAGGCCTGATGGTTTTTATTTATTTATTTATTTATTTATTTATTTATTTATTTATTTATTTATTTATTTGACTCGGAGTCTAAGGCCTGATGGTTTGCATTTATTTATTTGAGTCATAGTCTTATTCTGTCGCCCAGACTAGAGTGCAGTGGCACGCTCACAGCCACCGCAGCCTTGACCTGCTGGGTTTAGGTGCTCCTTCCACCTCAGCTTTCCCAATAGCTGTAACTATAGGTGTGCCCTACCATGCTTGGCTAATTTTTTTTTTGAGTTGGAGTTTCACTCAGTCGTCCAGACTGGAGTGCAGTGGCCACTCCCGGCCACCGCAGCCTCACCTGCTGGGCTCCGGTGATCCTTCCGCCTCAGCCTTCCGAGTAGCCGGAATTATAGGCATGCGCTACCACGCCCAGCTGATTTTTTTTTCTAGATTTATTGTAGAGATGAGGTCTCGCTGCCCAGGCGGGCTCAGGCAATCCACTCACCTCAGCCTCCCAAAGGCGCGGGATTACAGGCTGAGCCACCGAGCCTGGCTAATGTTTTGATTTACTGTAGAGATGAGGTCTCGCCAGGTTGCTCAGGCTGGTCTCGAACCCATGGGCTCAGGCAATCCTGTCGCCTCTGCCTCCCAAAGAGCTGGGGTTACAGGTGTGAGCCACCATGCCTGGCTTTGATGATTTATAACTCTAACTTGATGCTGATGCTGCTGGGTCTAGGGACCACCTTCTGACAACCACTGCTGTAGACCAACTTTGTAGTCCAGGACTTGTTTCATAATTCAAAATATTCAAAGCAATTCCAGGTAATTAGTAAAGTATGGGTTTTGCAATTCAGTGTATGGCAAGTTCCTTGTGGGCAAAGAAGGTAGTGCTTATTATTTGCTTTCACGTGAACAGATTCAGTTAGTGCCCTGAGCTTCCTGAAGTCCATGCCCTTTCACTACTCCTTGAATTTAAAGCAAAACTGGGGAATATGAGGGCATTGTTTGCCAGCTTCTTGATAAGACTCGGCTGGGGCATTTGCACAAAGGACACGAACCTACAGCGTCAGAATTTCCTGTGATTCTTATCATCTATAAAGTTTGGGAGATGTAGTCCTTGGGCCTGTCCCCTGGTTCTCCATTCCTGGATGGCATCTGACCACTTTAACTGAACCCAGGTGCTTCCCACTGCCACCCACACTTTTCCCTCTGCAGTAATAGGTTTTATGCAATGGAACCTGTATCCGAAGATTGTTTCAGAAGACTTGGAATGGACCAAGAAATCTGCATTTTATTTATTTTTTGAGTTGGAGTCTCACTCTGTTGCACAGGCTAGAGTGCAGAGGCACACTCATGGCCACTGCAGGCTCAACCTGCTGGGCTCAGGTGATCCTTCTGCCTCAGCTTTCCAAGTAGCTGGAACTACAGGTGTGTGCCACCATACCTGACTAGTTTTTTTTTTAATTATTATTGTAGAGATGAGGTCTCATTGAGTTGCCCAAGGCCGGTCTTGAACCTCTGGGCTCAGGCAATCCTCTCGCCTTGGCCTCCCAAAGTGCTGGGATTACAGGCTGAGCCACTGCACCCAGCCAGAAATCTGCAATTTAAACAAGCTACCTGGATGATTCTGATGCAGGTAATACCTGGACTGCACTTTGGGAAACATGCCCTACATAGCAAATGACGGTCTGTAGCATATAATGATGGAAGCCCACAAATACATACCTACTGTGCACCAGGAACTCTTCCAAGCACTTCAGATAGCCTCTGTGATAGGTGCTCTGATTATTTTGCATATGGAAAACTAAAACAGTGTAAGTTCTGTGTGACTCTGAACAATTCAGAGGGTGAAGTTGAGATTCTAGTCTAGCTCTGAGTTTGACTCCAAGTCTGTGTCCTTTAATCACTACATGATGCAGCCTCTTACACTGACAATGTTGTGTCTCAGCCCTGCAATCACCAAGTCCACATTTTGCATAACGTCACATTATGGTGAAACTAACATTCACATTTAAAAGCAACATGTCAGCTGAAAGCACTACTGAAGGATGGGGACTGGTAGAAGGATGTTACGATCCTTTCCGCCTCAGCCTTTCAAGTAGCTGGAACTATAGGCGCATGCCACCATGCCCAGCTTATTTTTTGATTTATTGTAGAGATGCGGTCTCACCAAGTTGTCCAGGCTGGTCTTGAACCCCTGGGCTCAGGCAATCCTCTTGCCTGGGCCTCCCAAAGTGCTGGGATTATAGGC